TTGCTAGAATTACTATAGCACTACTCTGAGCTATATTCCAGAAAGAATGTAGTAACCGAAGAAGCATTAAATAACATTGAGTGCCTACCTGTCCTGGAAGAGTTGGACAGTGAACCAACCTTAGCAGAAATAAAATCGGCCTTGGATTCCTTCACCTCCAGGAAGGCACCTGGGAAGGATAACATCCCTGCTGAAGTGCTGTTAAGAGACCATTACCACTGAGCTTTGAAATCTTTTGTCTTTGCTGGAGGGAAGGCGGAGTACCACATGACATGAAGGATGTAAACATTGTCACATTGTACAAGAACAAAGGCGACAGAGGCGACTGCAATAAGTACAGTGACATCTCTCTTCTCAGCATTGTAGGGACATCTCTTGCCCATGTTGTGCTGAAGAGGCTCCAGGTGCTTGCAGAGAGAGTCTATCCAAAATCACAAGTGAGGATTTCGAGCTAACAGATCCAACACTGACATGGTATTTTTCCATCAAACAGTTGCAGAAGAAATGCAGGGAACAATGACAGCCACTCTTTGTGGCCTTCATAGATCTTACAAAGGCCTTTGATTTGGTTAGCATGGACAGCCTTTTTAAAATATTTCCGAAGATTAGGTGTCCACCTCGACTCCTTAACATCATCAGGTCCATTCATGAGGAAATGAAGGACACTGCAGTTTTTGATGGCTCAACATTAGATCCTTTTAACATCTGAAGCGGAGTGAAACAGGGCTGTGTTCTCGCGCCAACTCTGTTTGGGATTCTTTTTTCTGTCATGCTGAAGCACGCTTTCGGAACTGCAACAGAAGGTATCTATCTCTGGACTAGATCAGATGGAAAACTCTTTAATCTCTCTATTTTGAGAGTAAAGACCAAAGTCTAGCTGAAATGAATGCGAGATGCCCTCTTTGCCAATGATTCAGCTGTTGTTGCCCATTCTGCTGAAGAGCTCCAACAACTTATGAATTTATTCGCGAAGGCTTTCATGCCCAAGATCTAATGGTTGTTGTGGGTTTTTCGGGCTCTTTGGCCGTGTTCTGAAGATTGTTCTTCCTAACATTTCACCAGTCTCTGTGGCCGGCATCTTCAGAGGACAGCACTTATGAATTATTTTAGTAAGGTCTGCCAAAATTTTGGATTAACAACAAGCCTAAAGAGAACACAAGTCATGGGCCAGGGCGTGGACTCACCTCTGTCTATTACCATCTCTACACAAGAATTGGAGGTTGTTCATGACTTTGTGTACCTTGGTTCAACAATCTCTGACACCCTCTCCCTAGATGTTGAGCTGGATAAAGGCATTGGCAAAGCAGCTACCATGTTCTCTAGACTCACAAAGAGAGTATGGCTCAATAAGAAGCTGGTAGCATATACCGAACCTGGGCAAAGTGTGGCCCTCCAGATGTTGCTGAACTGCAAATCCCAACACTTCTCATTACTGGCTGTGTGGGCTAGGATTGCTGGGAGTTGCAGTTCAACAACATCTGGAGGGCCACATTTTGCCCAGGTCTGGCATATACCAAGATCCAGGTCTACAGAGCCTGTGTCTTGAGCACACTCCTGTACTACAGTGAAACCTGGACCCTTTGTGCACGGCAGGAGAGGAAGCTGCACACATTCCGTATGCATTGTCTCTGACACATTTTTGGTATCACCTGGCAGGACAAAGTTCCAAATAGAGTAGTTCTAGAACAAGCTGGAATTTTTAGCATGTATACATTACTGAAATAGTGATGTCTACATTGGCTTGGGAATGTCGTGAGAATGGCTGATGGTCGGATTCCAAAAGATCTCCTGTATGGACAATTAGTGCAGGGAAATCACCCCAGAGGGAGACCACAGCTGCGATACAAGGACATCTGCAAGCGGGATCTGAAGGCCTTAGGAAAGGACCTCAACAGATGGGAAACCTTGACATCTGAGCATTCAGCCTGGAGGCAGGTGGTGCAGCATGACCTCTACCACTTTGAAGAGACACTTTTCAACAGGCTGAGAGAAAGAAGCAGTCCCAAAACCAGCAAAATCAGGGAGCTGGATAGGGGACAGATTGCATTTGTTTTCAGTGTGGAAGGGATTGTCACTCCCGTATTCTCAGCCACACTAGACGTTGTTCCAAGACATCTATTCAGAGCACGTTACCATGGTCTCTCGAGACTGAAGGATGCCTACATAACAGTCTTTTCTTCAAAAAGCTCAGTGTACCATCTTTTCCTGAGAGTCATAAAGAAAAATATGTTTTTTGAAGCACAATAACAAGCAGAGAACTTGCAAGTTTTGTATGTTGAATTCGAGCATTTTAGCAGTTATACAACCCTGGTGACTTGGAGAGCTGCACTTTGCCCAGACCTGCAAGCCAAGCTACTAAGCACAGTAGTTCCAGCATTCATGTTTTCAGTATAACAATTGAGAAGATCATGTGCTATGTGCATAGGGTAAGTGGCCATGTTAGTATGCAAACATTTCTTTCTCTCACTGAAACACCCAGCTTTTCTTAACTCTCTTTAGTGTTCCCTGTTCCCCTCTGGGAAGTGAAAACCTGCAAGAAATTTCTGAAATTTATAACTCAGGGCTCTAAAGTCTCTTGGTGTGAGGGATGGAGCTTGTAGAGAAGTGCCACAATTCCTTTCCGGTGTTCTCTTCTACAGTGTGAGAGGGATGGGATTGCCAGTGACAGAACAGTAATAAATATAATCTGCCTGCTTGAAAGGGGCCAAGTTTGTGTACTTTGAGCAGAGGCAAACAATTAAAAACAATAAAATCAGTAAAATCAACAAATGTTGTCTTTGCAATGGAAGGCAAAGGTCTTCCTCTTAAAGCAAGCTTTTTACAATAAATTTTGATAATAGAAAAGTGGAATGCTGTTCACTTATTTTGCTTTTATGCTATGATGTTTGTTTGTTGTTATTTCATGTGTTTTGAACTGTTTTTAATTTCCTAGCCTTTTAAATATTATTATATGTTTAATTTTTTATGTTCAGATACATTGTAGTTTTATTTGTATGTGTTTTTGATAATTTAAAAAAAGTAAATTAATTTATTAATATATAACACATGGTACAAAGCAAAATAAAACACAATATAACAATCAACATTTACCCAAAATTTTTTAAACACTTAGTTTTTAATCATTTTTTAGGCACCTTGGGACCCATACCAGGAAAAAAGTAGCATGCAAACAATCAAATACTAAAAATAAGAAAACAAAACATCAGCAACCATTAAATGTGTTAAAAAATCACAATATAAGTTTCTGTTTGCTGGTTCCTTTTTATGCATTCATTCAAAATACATTCAGAAGATCTGTTATTAGAAGTGCCCCCTCAAGTGGCAAAAAAGTGCTATTTCTGAAAATACATTAAAAGGAGAAACATAGGCATCATTCTCTACAATGTAAATAACAGCTTCCATTGCATCTCTAATTTTGGAGTCATGTGTAACTAAGAAAATCCCATGATGAGGGAGAAAACAATGTAAGCTCAGAAAAGATCCATTTACCTGAACACGGGTTTTAGCCCTAACTGACCATCATGAATAACATGTTTCTCAAGATAGAGCTGTTTGCTGGTTGTAGTTCATGGGTGAGGGAATTACCTCTCTCCCTTTGGATATCTGGTTTGTCTCTCAGTCCAAAATAATAATGCTAGAATCTGTTTCTATGAGGAATATTGAGGAAATTAAAAGCATGCCTTCAGGGAAGTAGCTGAAGGTGGAGTGACAGAGAAATGTGAGCAAAATCAGCTGATTTTCAGCAGCAGTTGTCAGGGCAAAGTATTTCCATGGACAAGCCTAATACAGAGAGGAAAAAGGTAGATGCCTCACGTCTAACTTCAAAGGGCTAGAGTTGCTATCCTGGGAGGAAGATAACTTTGCTCCAGCTCTCATATTGCCAAAAGGCAGCACAATCGCCTCTCTTATTGCACACCTCTTTCTCATCTTAGCTCTTTATATGCCTTGGCAATAAGCGAGCTGACTCATAATGGCCACAATCCAGCAAACTGATTAAGTCACAAATTGCTTTTAAGATTTCACAGATCATCTGCTGGATCATGGAAATGTGCCTCATGTTTTGGAAGCCACTTAGCAAATAATTTAACAAGCTAGCAGGCAAGAGACACATCCAAAGTACTTCCAGACACCATTTTTATTGAACAGCTGCACTAGCTCATTCATGGAGGTGGGGCAAGGAGATGACAGCATCTTCCATTAGCAACCCTCTCATGTTTTCCCACAGCTTCTTCTACCCTTTTCCTTCACAGAAAAAAATTATGTTAAGGAAAAAAATTGAAAAAGCTGCATGATAACTTTCACTTGTGCATGATAGGGCAGGAACCCTCCATCTTGAAGCAGCCTCACTTTGTTCTGTGCATTTTAAACCACTTTTGGTACCTCTGAAATGATGAACTTCATGCTCAGCTTCTCTTGACTCATGACCAACATTTCTCCTTCCCTCCTACAAAAAAACAACAACAAACAACAAACAAACAAAAAGGGTGGTACGGACAACCATTTCACGAAGGCAAGTTTTGTTATTTAGTGAAGACCAAGAAGGCTCACTGTTGTTACTGAACAAATCATAGTGGCTGCTTACAGCAGTTCCTTGTTGTCTGTCCATCTGTCTCATGGTATTGTATTATGTCATTTTGGCTGCATAAGGATTTTGTTTGGAAAACAAACATAGAACTAGCTGTAGAAGCAGTAGGTTTTGACCCAAGGAAGTTCACATTGAAATATATCTGTTAGTCTTCAAAAAGTCATAATAGTTTGCATTTTTCTCTTACTCCCCTTCCCCCTTTTTCCCTGCAGTTTTGCCAGCATGAGAAGGAAACTGTATTTGCCTTCCAGGAGCTGAATGGAACTTTCAGTTCAGGGCCACGTTGTTGGAATAGAGCATTCTCACATATAGTAACTGATGAGCACTCAAACAGATGGCTGTAGGCAGATAGAAAGCCCAGGCATTTTGTCTTCTTTTTCTTCTGCATATTAAAGGATTACAGTGTTTCCTTCTTCAACTTCTCTTTGAAGTGGATAATTCACTATTTTAGCTAGAGGAAATGGCAGATCAGTGATACATTTCCTCTTGCACTAACATTAAGTGGACCTCCATCTCATCCTCTGTCGTCCCCTTTGCCTTTGTCGGCAAGGTGATGTCTCTGATTTTAAGATGCTGTCTAGGTTTGTCATCACTTTCCTCCCAAGAAGCAGGCATCTTTTAATTTCATGGCTGCTGTCACCATCTGCAGTGATCATCGAGCCCAAGAAAGTAAAATCTGTCACTGCCTCCATATTTTCCCCTTCTATTGGCAGGAGGTGATGGGACCAGTGGCCATGATCTTAGTTTTTTTTGTTGTTGTTGTTGAGCTTCAGACCATTTTTGCACTCTCCTCTTTCACCCTCATTACAAGGTTCTTTAATTCTTCCTCACTTTCTGCCCTCAGAGTGGTATCATCTGCATATTGGAGGCTATTGATATTTCTTCCGGCAGTCTTAATTCCGGCTTGGGATTCATCCAGTCTAGCCTTTCGCATGA